TTGCTGGCTGATAGTGTAGTCAGTGAGTTGTATTGACGAAACTTAGTCAGGTTAAAGTACTTATTGTGTGCATTATAGTTATCGAATGTTGTTAATGTTAAATAGAGAGAACGAAGCATCGGTTGTTTTGGATGGTGCTTGTTGAGTCAGGGATTTCTCTTTGTATTGTATTAAAGTATTTGAGGTTTATACTGGTCAACCATTGTCAGCACCTTGTCTGTATGCGTGCGTGTTTCTTCACCCTGTGGTGTGTTAATGTTCGTTGTATACTGAATAATCAACACCACGGACCCTGCCCCAAGGATTTTAAATTGTGGCATCGACTCTCGTTGGCAAACAGGCCCCGGTGAGAGAAGTGTTACATAATCTTAGTAACATTAACGAATGGGAGAGTGGTTCACATAGCGCGATTGGTTAGTTTAGTGAAACTACACCAAAATGCACTCCAATATTCTACAATGTAGTAACTGTTGATTGGTTTTTATGTAAAAAGATGAAAAATTAGAACAAAATTGCTGTGAACGTTACACCAGATACTGAAAAGAACCGTACGTTGTCTTTTCAATTTGTATATAGATATTTGGGCAATGAAGCTATTCATAGAAACGTGAGAAAATATTTGCAATATAAACTAGTTATCCATTTTATTCACATTCTGTACAATCTAACTAATCTTCTGTAATGTTTGTTAGACATTCATCGATCCCTGTAATATATATAAAAAAAATAGTATTTTAGTGTGACACCATATGTATGTGTTGGATAATTTTCTTTCATGATGTACTAATTCTACCCTCTGATATGCACTGACCTGTCTCCTCGCAAATAAACCCCTTCTTTTTCCAGCAATAGTCATCATCCCAGGCAAAAACTGGCTTTTTTCGTGGTTCTTTCCTGCAAATTAATTACTTTACATGATAGATTGTTTTTTTTCAAAATTGATATCAGCTGTAAGCAATTATTAAAGGGACGAGTCGAAAAAACGGTGTTACGTTCCGACAGGTCGGAGGGAAGGGTAACAGTTTGCTTGTATAGGGTTTAGAAATGTGAAAAGATTGAATCAGTTTATAATTTGCATTTTTGATTTTATATTTAACAGTTATAGTAGCGTGCAGAACAATGATTCTTTTTACTATTCACACAATAACAGCTGACTATACTGCTCTACCTCTGTTTACTAGGTATACAGTTGACTCTTATCTCACTTGATTTTTGAAACCATGTTAGTTTTGCTCGAAGTACTCTTGATTAGATATATTATGATAAGTGTTGGACTTTCAAAGCAAACCATCGTAAAAGTTGTATTGCCTATAGGACCGTATTTATACAAATAAACCCTTTTCACGGGTTTTGATTTTAACTTCTGCATCTATCTTTAACTCAAAAGTTCACAATTCATTCCTTGGTTGGTTAATTATAACTTGTCACATCCAAATTGAAACAGAAGCCGAATACAACTGATCGAATTATTTTCCTGTAGAACTGTAACCCTGTCTGGTACTAGACCAAACACGTTTGCAGTCTACCTGAGAGTTCATCAGAGTCATATTACTTGCACCATACATTTTTGGTGACATTGTAATTGTAAAAATAAATATATTTATAATAATATGATGACAAGGTACAAATGTCACATATTTATCACATTTGATCAAAAAATAGAAAAATAAGCATTTGTACATACAAATTGCATCACAATGGAGGGATTAATTAAAAGAAAATAAAACATTTCTTTACCACATTTGGCAGCAATCTTGGCCCGTCGCGTCTAGTTGATGATTGTCGTTGGGCTGATTATATATTCCTCTTGGATCTTGATACCAATTGGAGTAGCCGTCGCGTTCAAGGGGATTTCCCTCAAGCCAATGGAAATGACCTTCACATCCTTGATCTTCACATCCCATCCAATAACCATTGCCTTACAAAATTAAATACACATTTATGTAATTTAATAAGTGAAATAGGCACTAGATGTCAATATGCTTTTTTTTATATTTCTAGTACAGTAATTACCTATAATCATTCATTTTGTCTTTTACAGGAAGTGCAAATTTAAACCGGATATGTTGCCAAAACCTCATAAGCAGCTCATTCAAGTGTGTTACGCCATTGTGCCATGGGGTAATATATTATTGTACAGTTATCATTAAAACCAGTTTGTTAATTTTCATTCAAAAAAATCATTATTCGCATGTGTATGTGCAGCAAAGCTTCACCGACATGTTCTACATTATAGTGATTTAAAGAGTTCACATTTGGAACGCTGTGACGTACCGGGAGCTGCTTTCAAAGCAATGTTGCCTTTTAAAATATGCTGTCGAACGGCCTTGTCTTTTGGTTTCGCATCTAGGATAGCAAGTTGCCAACCGTTACTGATGCAGAAATCTCGGGAAGCATTCCATGTCAATTTGTCCATAAAAAAATGCCATTTGCTGCCTTCAGCACACAAAGCTGGAAAATAAAATTACTGATATTATAAGTCATAAAATAACAGAAATAATATAATGTCGGAAAAAAGCCGGGATGCCAATGTTAACACGAATGCACGAATGCACCTCAGTAAAGAAGTTCGATGATGCAATGTTGCGATTGACCCTAACAAAACTTATAACTATATAATAACGTAAAAACAAATACAATGGTGAAATAAATGTGAAATATCGCACGATTACAAGGCAATATTAAAAAGAGCAGAAGGATTTAGTAATATTTTGGATAATGTAGAGCTAAAAATGCGATATCATATATACAAAGAATGGCCCCTGTAAAAAAATACTTCTTGATATTTGATGAAATATCCCAAACATATTTGTTATAATACTCAATTGAGGGTAATATCGGAGGTTGAGGTTAAGATAATTCAAATCATTCACCCTTGTGTAAACATTTAGTAGAATCGTGCATCAACACACACGTGGTGCATACATTGACATATTAACCAATCACAGTGAACATAAGGCCATGACGAAAAGCAGACGAATATTTGAATCGGCTCGATTTTGACAACGTGTTTGTCGTGGTTTTCTTGTGTATTCCTGCCAATTCAGTAAATACATATGGTAATATTATTTTGGAAACTTTAGAATGGCGTTCAATTACATTTGCTTTGTTTCAGAAAATTGTTCGTGGGCGATTACAACGACATGGGTTATTGGCTAGGTAAATTTATTTTGAAGATCAGAAATGTTTCTGATTCACATGCTACCCACCAAAACTGTACTATTTATTCTGGGGCTACAAAGTTACCGGTGTTACATGAAGCAAAATCATATGAATTTCTGAACCTAAAAAGAATTTGATGGTTTCCGTCGAGTACTGAATCCAGGACTCCCAACTGATACTAAACAAGCTTGCGTAATTTTCAAAGAACAAATTGATTCGTTGTGAAAATTAAATTACTGAGCGACTTACGAATGGTACCAATTTTGCTCCAAGAATCGGAACAAGAGTGTCGATCTCACAAACCCCAAATAACTTTGATTGAGCCACCAGGTCATAAAATTTATCTGAATTATTGGAGGGTGTATAGAAATTAAAGTAATGAGAGCGATAGTACCTACAATCCCGAATCATACATCAATATGTCAGATTTCTGTTTTCACACTGTTTTATTCCGATATGTTGGATGTATAGAAAGTTCACAACAGTTGTAATACTTTGTGGGGTGATGTACCAACGAAGTGTGAAAATCCAGGCAGGATGGACAAAAATGCACTGGATATAGTCGAGTGTATGTAACTTCTGCTATCCTGCCGAGAACAAGGCCGGTTGATATCGTACCCCGCCTCAAGATACCACCCACAATTTTAAAATATCACCCCATATTAAATAGCTTTTAAAAATTCCAAGATTTGAAACTATTGTTCAATTCACTGAGAGTATTGTATACTGAAATAACTCGTAGCTTTACTCACTGTCAAACGGGTCCTCTGGATCAACGCCCAAAGCGGGTACAGCAATCTAAACGAGAAAAATAATCAATAATAATATTGTTGAGAGAAGGGTTAATGTGATTAACATGTGGGTGCGTAAACCTCAGTCATCAATTTTGTGCCAACAAGCGAACTAATATTGTCCGTAAATGGTTGGAAACACTTTTATAATCCATGGAGGTTTCTGTGACTATAGTGGCAAGATGCTTTGCGAAGGTCGCGAATTCTACTCAAGTGTTGCTTGTTTGTCGAAGGATAAAAGACTGTAAAAAAGATCGAGTGAGCCAAAATAAATATATTGAAATTATTTAAAATATTTTGTTGGAATTTTGGGAATTGAGAAGGTTGTCGCATGTCAACAATGGGAGACTACCTATCTATATACGCCGAAGAATGTACGTGTAAGAGAAGGAAATGTAACTTACCACGGCCAAAACGGCCAGAAAAACGTAAGCTGACATATTTGTGACTGAAAACAAGAAAATCAATGTGCAAATAATTAGAACCATTATTTGCCGACACCAAACAGGTATACCATCGGGTAAATGTATGTATGTTACACGTGGTAAACCAATACACCTACCTGCTCAGGTATAACCAATGCAGTCGAAGGCTTCGTTATCGAGTGCGCTCTTCTCATATCGCACGGGTTATTTTATAGAAATGATGATGATTGTATCAGCAACAAAGTACGTATTGAAAATTCACTAAAACTATGTTATATCATTGTAAAACTGTCATGGATTATATTAAAACCATGTGTACGTTATAGAGAAGGAATCTCGACTATATTTAACAAAGCTTTACTCGATAAAAAAAAACTTGCTTGTATGAAATAATCACTTTTAATCCTAGAATAAAGATAAGACCTATGTCAAAGTGTTGAATTTCCAGTGGTGTTAGTTGACATATGGAATGCGTTGCCGGTTTCTAGAACACTTTGAACCTCAAATTGCTAATATGAGTGGGCATTGTAAAACAAAGTGACATATTTCCCTACAGTGTATTGGTTGTATGACACTTAAGTCTTACATTTTGTAATGTAACAACGTACAACGTATTTTATATTTCTGACTCGTTTAAAAGTATTTTAACTAGAGTAATTAAGTGTCTACACGAATCGTTATCACTCTTTCCAGCTTACACATTCATATATATATATATTATATATATATATATATATACATACATAAAATATCCTATCCCCTATATACATATATAATTTAGGCCAATTTTATATAGATTTAAAATTATTTGTTTTGTAGCACATTAAAAACACATCGCATTATACATATACTTGCTCAGCGATACCTAATTTGAGAAATGTGAGAATAGTAGCCACACTTGATTATATCAAATTTATAATGGTAGATGCAGAACAAAATGTCGGCATACTGAGGACATACAATTTTGACATACAATGCTACACGTGTACAAGTCAGCATTTATCAACCAATGATACCTTCATAGTAACAGCTGTTACGATCGTTATACTTGTGATAATCAGTTCCGATGGATAGACGAAGTAATATTCAAGACTATTTTGAATTATTATTATCACAGAAACTAACAAGTCCTTCTTTTGTTACAATATTGATCGGACCGCTAGATTTTCTCAATCAAGATCGGGTTATGTTAAACATATCAAATGGATAGCAGGAAAACATAGTAGTTTGTTTAGAATCTGTTTTAGTTACACTTTAGTACCTACACCTAAAACATAAAAAACATATCAGACTGGTAGTTTTCAGTAATACAGAATTTACGATAATATTATTTATGGACTGGATACGGAATTTGCGGCGCGAGGTCGTACGGTGATAGCACCCGAACTTGCGATGGTATAATGTTAGACGTATCCAGTTCATAAAGGTGTTATCATACACCTTATAGGGTATATGAAATATAAGCACCCACTAGCTACCTGTGCTTCATCTAATTCTGTTATTATCTTATTTCTATAATTTATTCAATTATTTACCTTGCGGATTGATATTGCTATACCTTAGATGTCAGCATCAACAAGACGAACGATCATTGTAATATTTGTTAGCGCTCGCAAATATTTAAAGCTGGAACCTCCGCTCGAACCCCGACCATAATGCATAATGTAATGCGTGAATAGATATCAGCCCTAGGTATCGTCCCGTGTTCGAAAGTTAGTTGCAGCTAATGTGATCGATGTTTTAAAAATTGCACGCTCCAAAACATAACGGCAACTTTCTGTACTGTCATAATCACTACAGACTAGCTACGAATGTCATCTCCAACAACACCATGTCTGGCTGAGACCAGTTCGGAGTGCGCACCTCTCGAAATACATAAAAGGAATGTGCTTGTCCAAATATGGACAAACAGGGCCGAGTGTGATATGAGCAATTGTTACACGGCTATACAAGGTGTATGATAATGTCACAAAATGAATGAGTTTGACAGGGACCCATACCAAGTACAAATATATCGATTATCAAATCAATAGGGAAGGGGGTTTCCAGGAATAAGTAAAATATAACAATGTTTAACCAAATGAGCAAGAATGGATTCATTACTAAGTCTTCATCCAAGACTCCAACGAATCAATATAATCAGAATAGTAGTTTTTAAGAATAATTCCAAAATGTTTACTAAAATTCTTAATTCGATTAACGTTTCACCCCAATATATATCAAGTTGAAAACAATCGAGCTGATGATTTTAAAGAATAAGTCCAAGAATGAGTAAAAATTAGCTGATTTTCATACTATTTGATGGATCAACTGAAGAAATATACATACACCAAATCAGTGCTCTGGTTTTTTGGGCAAAGGTCGTCCACGGGCATACGTCCAGCAGACGCCGGAAACAGCACTTTGCAAGTACAGATACAGGCTGTTTAGACCAATTTTAATAAATATGAATACGCCTTTCTGCTTGTCATTGGAATGGTTACAGGAATGGACAATGTGTCCACTAAATTACTCGTCAAGTTACTAAATTGCCGTAAAATCCAGTATGAACACTATTATACATTAGCTTTAGTGCCGTTGACTTTGCTTATATTGTCAATAAGAACATGACAATCAACTGCCTACTTAGTGGGAGAAAACAAAACAGTTCGACAAGATTATCCACATTTCACGAATAGCTAACAGTAATCCTGATTTGTAATCTGTTAAGATTATTCGTGTTTTCTTTACAATGTCTTCATGATGCCATAAAAGAACATGTGGGTTCAGGTATTTACTGCTATTTAAAATCTTAATTAGGTGTACGATGATTCATCGTACGTTAAGTATATTATACGGAACTGGTATTATACTAATGTTTGAAATTTTCATGGGTTATTTTTGCATCGAGTGACAGTTTCGGACATTTAGTAAGCATATATATAGAGCATTTGTGCCAGTGTGACGTGAACCAGGCCTGTGTGAAGCGCCATGCAATATATTTTATTGCTTTAGACGATGCCTGGTCGAAAGTTTATTTTATATCGGTATTTAAGTTTATTGATACTATCAGGTGTATTGAATTGATCTCTGTCCATTGTTGTATCAGAGGGAAAATCCCGTCTGGTCTCTATATCTCGTCTGCTTGAGGTACCGGACCGGGAAATTCACTTAAACCTTACAGTCAAATAGACGCACACAACGAAATACGTTTCAATAGCTAGTCTTTAGCCACATCGAGATCGCCTCAAGGCAAAGTGCCTCGTCGGAGACTCTGCCCAAGACTGACCAAGACTCTCTCGCCTCGTGGACCAAGGGACTGGGACCAAGGACTTAGACCGTTTATTACGTATCAAAACTTAACCAATTACAAGGACGTTTAACCACATAAGGCGTAACCTTCACACAGTCAACTTGCACATAACCAATCAAACTAAGTACTGGACACGTCATATCTTTTGATTAATCGTCCGCTATATTAATAACTACAAATACCACACTGTCAGAAATAGCGGTGCGGATGGCGACGATTATATCGTCAAGTCAAGTTCCGTCCAGGACCTCGCATGAGCCTAAATGATGACAGATATAACACAGCAATTCACTAGTAATCAGCTAAATGAGTCGGTCAACAGATACGCGAAAACTAATTCATGACAGTTATATGGTCAAAATGGTTCCCAGTTGTGCTTGACGAAATGCACAATAATAACAGTATTTCAGGGATTTCGGTAAAAGCTGTTACATATATGTTAAATTTATTGCTAAAATAATTTCAGGAAGCATTTGGGGCTTTTTTGTCTGCATATTTTGTATATAGTGCGCCGAAGAGCCACTGCCATGTGCTGGCCGCTTGTTAATTAGAATGACCTGGATTTTAATCACAGTGGAGAGACCATTATTTTGAAAACTTTGAAAGGTATTTTTCAATAGATAGTGTGGACTGAATTGAACAGCATTTTTCTTGTCTACCAGAAGTGATATATATTTAAAATATATTTAATGTCACGATCATTAGTATTGTAATTTGGCTTGATACAACATCTAAATATTTTACCTATTATTGAGTCAGCTACTTTGAACCTGAGTTCCCATGATCCCTACTTCCCCGATTCTTCATCTATATTCTACCGTTAGTTTGTGTGTAGCTTACATAAGTTTTTATCCGGTGTATGTAGACTTGTTGTATACTTGTAATGTAACTGTATGAATGTATTACGCATATTTTACATATTGAGTTTGTTGTAATTTGTTCATTCTTGGGCACTATTTAATTTCTTATATTATTGTGCATACCATTCGTAATTGATTGATTCGTATTTGTATTATTTTAACCATCTTCATACTTGTAATCAACATGTGCATTACCACTGCCAACTATAGTTGTATTGTCATCGCAGTAGCTCAAGAAATAGTTTTCTATGGAAGTGTGTTGTATTGTTATGGTTGTTCATATTTCTACTTTTTTTTGGATAAGGATCACCTAGTGATAATTTTGTTAGAGAGTTGTGATGTTGTTGAGTTTGCTATGGGTATCAAACCTGAAAGGGAAATCCTTGAAGTCCTGTCGATATTTTCAAATGCACCTCAACTTTTCTCATTATTGGGATTTACCGGATACTATATGCGGTTTCCAGCATAGCAGATCATCTTCAAAAATATTGTCACGAGTTTCCAAAATATAAAATCGTCAACACGTACTTTCACACACTAGTGTTGGTTCTGCTTACCGTGTGACTAAGCACACAGCAGAATATTCAGGGATGACTCACAATGTACGAATACGCGTTACAAGAAATTATTATATAAAACAGGCATACACAGATGTGAAGAACACGTTAAGATAAATTTGCAACGTACGCCTACGTAAATTTAACCAAACATTAAACAAACAAGATTATAATTAAGGTGGAAGACAATCTAGTGTAAAAGTTTAAATAAAACATTTGACGTTAAACTATTAAGAATATTCAATTTTCGTGTTTGTTTTTTTATAATAAAAAAAAACATAGTTTTGAAATTGTTGAATAACACATCTCTGGGTTATGTTTATTGTTTTGTTCGTGATAATACAGTGTCTTATATAATAACTTTCATTTTGACGCAATTAAAAACTTGGTATCATACAGTTGTTTACAAATTCTTGAAATTGTGGGAACAAGGTAGGGTAAAATAGCACTTTTTGTTTCATTACATACTGTGTAGATCATAATTGTAGTTTAAACCGCGGCATATTTTGAGTAAACTACATCTACATAATAAATGTATGAAGTATGGAGTACAAAAACGCGATTGAGTGGTTGTCATGGTGATAGTTGCATAATATGAGGTTATTACGAAGATACCTCAAGTATGCACGGAGTACAGTGATAATATCGACCGACGCGTAGCAGAGGTCGATGCGACGGCGTATACTGTCTGAGTGCATAATTTGAAGTATACTCGTAATAACCTCATTATTATACAATTTTTCCTTCCCAGGATACATCTTGAGAATGCCGAAATCCAAAACGTCCTGTCAAGCTCTGGTGGCAGCCATGTTTGTTTTTATTATTAGAGGACGCTTACGCACATAATCATTCCATATTTTGGAATTTCTTTATATGGTAGGCTGAAAATACCCCGTAAAATACCGCAAAATTACGGTACGCTGTAACTTATGGCGTTACGGTGACAGATGTATAATACTATTTAACCAGCTCATAACAAAAAAAAAGTTACTAAGGAGCACAAAAGCAAAACAGAAGTTGAAACAGGATGCCGTAGAAATATCAGAAAAGATCCTTTTCCAGTACTAGTAGTTGCTGTCTCTCAACATGTCAATAGACATGACTGCCGCAATTAAACCATTCCCACTAACTGTGTTTAGAAATAGCGACTTGGTCACTGGTAATTTGTGTTTCGATTATAGAAAATGTTTTATTATTTTTTTCCCAATCTCATAATTCACTGGTATACGTAGATGTTAGTCTATTGCTTGTTTGAATTGTTTCGGTGAGACAAGATCATTTATTATACCAATGCAGCTGCTGTGTATACGTTGAACATTCTTTTTGTGACATTTATATGCCCATGTTTGAATATTTATTAAGGTTATTATATTAAAATACTCAATCAAGTAATTTTTCAGGTAATTGTATTTGCATAACGCACGCTTACGACGTATTTCATTAAAACGCAGTGTAGACAATATATCTGGGGTTGAGTCTCTGTAATTTTATTTGGTTTTATTGCGTAGAAGGGAATCGCGTCTTCATGATTGTCGTGTTGTGTTGTGTTGTGTTGTGTTGTGTTCTGCTGTGCTGTGTTGTGTTGTGTTGTATATGCATGTTGTACCTAGTCGCGGAGTGCTTTTTGCCTTGTATGGCCACAGGGAGTTGGACAAACCTATGTATTTTAATAAATTATTAAATAATAAAATGTTATATATCTTTTTTCTACCCCCCTCTCCTGGTATTTTACCTCACCCCCTTTGTTTATACCACTCTTTCCTTTATCACAACTTAGTTACGCGCGTGTTAAAATTTGCATATAACATTAGCGCGTAACTAAGTTGTGATAAAGAAAAGAGTGGTATAAGCAGGGGGGGTAAAATACCAGGCGGAGGGTAAAAGAAAAGTTTGTCCAACTCCCTATGGTATGACTGAAGAAAGCATTGAGATACTGAGGCTAACTGCGCCGTCGCCACTTTACGCCTACTTGAATCATGAGTCAGATTGAATTTTTAAATACTAAAGAACACCCTGCAAAGTGACGTTACATTGCATACACACTCAAACACAACTAGATATCCCAGTTTGTGATGAGTTTTTATTGTACAAATTGTATGGATGCGAGAGCATTCTTTATAGTCCAGTGTCCCATTGTTTTGATTTATATATATTATATTACGTTGTTAGCCAGCATATGTATGTTGTTTGTTTGTTTGTTTGTTTGTTTAAAGCGGGAGGGTCGTCACCTGCGCACGCGCGGACATTGGGTCCCAGGCGACGATAACAACACACACTAAAAACGCAAAGGCACATGGGTAGACGCTTGTTTGTAAACAATGACACGCTATGGCCATCTGACGCATGCGCAGGTGACGACTTCCCTGCTTTAAGTTTACGTATCTAGTTATTGTACTTAGTATTCATAGTTAAAATGAATTGGGTGATGAATGAAGAATTTTGTATATTTTCAACTAGTTTGGGCGTTCCTTAATAGCCTGTGCTAACCATTGTTTCCTTCTGTGCGTAAACGCAATTAGATCTATCCGATATGCAAATGTATGAGGTTAACTTAAATCTTAGCTTAAGCCCGTACTTCGCATAGCGTATACTCTACTATAATCTTTAACTCCTAGTCCAGATGCAAGTATCTGTTCACAGTGATTGATGTGATAGTCTGAGAAAAGGGACGATAACTGCGGTAGTGCCATGATTGTGTTTACATTATATATTGATTGTAATTTAATTTATACCATAGGGATTATTGGTAATGGGACGTAATATATTCAATTGCATTGCTTGAGGTTATGACCGAAGAAGTGACAAGAAATTAGAGCTAGCTAAGATGCGAGTAAGCAATTACACACTTGTCTGTTGTTCAAAGATGCGACAGCAATGATGCGTGCCAATACCTTAGGCACGCGAATAGTCACCAACAATTAATAATGTGATTGACTTTGATAATCATAAGTTGACAAGATTTGTGATTACTGCAACGTGTAGAGCAGCACAGAGAATGACAATCTGATTTGTGCTCCGTAGAGATTTTGATAATAAATGCTAAATGACTGAAATCGAGATACAGTCTGGAGTCTGAGAGAGGTCTTTGGGTCGGTGTGGGAGACATGTTGCAGCTATAGGGTGACTCTACCTGACAAAGAGTGAGAGTAAAAAGCATAAAACTGCATTTATTGTCGGAACCACAATCGAACTGCGGAAACCACAAAGAGATACGTTATGTACTTAAGTTAATTATTATTGAGTTAGTTGATTGGCTACTCAGTGACAAGTTACGTAAGCCCAAACTTCCGGCCACACTGTATGTATACTTTCAACACACGCTTTAATCGGCAGTAGCTGTATAGTATTCGTGTAGTCTATATCGTATAATAAAGTCTCTTTCCTTGACTTAATCGATCGTCTCCTTTATCCTGTAATTTCGATTCCCACAGTTATCTAGTGCGTGCGGTTATTGTATAAAACGACGAACTATATTTACTCCCTAATGTTCATGACACACTCGGATCTCTTGTACCATCGGAGTGCTCGATAATGTATGATAATGTATGACCACCATTACAATTACGTCGACGTCGGTTACTTTTGACAATCATTGTGTAACGGCGCCAGAAAATTCCGTGTATATACAAACTGGAAAATGCAATACAACACACTATTCATTGTAGAAGTATCTGCATAAATTATGTTAATGACATTACTCATTTATACCATGTATTGGTTGTGAGCAAATTCTTAATATGAGTAACAATTGTAACAGTAAGACTGCTAAAACAAGGAAACTGATGTTATATAGATTTAGGAACATTTACTTTAACAGCGGATATATATTGTTTTGTTCATTATGCTTAATAAATAAGTCGTGACAACGATTCCAGATGTTGACAAGATGCAATTAGTTGTTAATTGCGTTGTTGCAAATATTATATTGCATTGTGTAATACATATAGTGACACTCTCAAGTCAGCATTGAAACAAATGTACATGTGCATGTATTATATATATATCCTAGTTTAATTGCAATACGTGCGTGATATACAGGTAAAATATTATTCTAGCATATCAGGGAACACATAATAAACAATGGAACTGTGTCTCAGCTCTTGTATCTGTCCACTATAATAACCGTGTAAGTTCCAATAATAGAGCAGGAAACGACCAAAACTAATTGTCTGTTGCAATGTACATAGTAGTTATACAACTTTTTGTTCCAAGGTTTTGATTATCATGCTTTGTTGTCATTAAAGAATTACCTGTTTATTAATCTTATTTGAGTTAGTCCGCCTTGCTTGTGAGGTAATTAGTTTGCTTTTTTTTTTGATTTAACAAAAAAAAACCGGGTGAACAGCATAACATCATTCCCTGATGAAAGAGCTCCACAAATGAAGAAGAATGCAATTTACAGCTATATCATTATGTCATCTATCCACTTGTGTGAAAAATAGAGAAAATTATTTCGTCTATATCAAAATACTGATGCGAATCAGTTTAAATTTTCAGTGAGTATACTACAATGAACACAGCACATGAAGATATTTCCAAATATGTAAATACAAATTGATGTTATGGACTTTGAAAAGAGTATGATGTATAGTTGCCCTTTGTATGGTCAACAGATTATATATAACTACTAAGTTTGGAGAAGTTGTGGCGATTAATCTATTCATACAAACAAGAGACAGTATTTGCCAGTTCAAACTAGGTATCCATTTTATTCAAATTCTGTACAATTTTACTCAGGTGCTGGGCAATCCTCGCCCAAAACTGAAATAAATAAGAAATAAATATTAGTGTCACAGTATATGTTAGTGTATTATTAGATGATAAAGTATCAGTCCCCCCTCCGATTTGGACGTACCTTCTTCACAGACGTAACCCTTCTTTCTCCAGCAATAGTCATCATCCCAGGCAAAGACCGGTTTCTTTCGTGGTTCTTTCCTGCAAGGTAATTTGAATCGGTGAAGGGATATTTCATGTTAACTACCAAATAAGGACACAACTGACACTGAGTTGTTGGCTTACATGAACGGCTGTTTCTGGGCGAATAATAAAACACAAAAATAATGTTTACCACAGTTGACAACAATCCTGCCCAGTCTCATCTAACTGGTGATTATCGTTGGGCTGATTGTACATGCCTCTTGGGTCTTGGTACCAATTAGAATACGCGAGGTGTTCAATGGCATCTCCTTCGAGCCAATGAAAATGACCTTCGCATCCCAGATCTTCACATCCCATCCAGTAACCATTGCCTTATAATAAAGTGAGTTTATGTTCTTTCTTATTGCAATGTTACTAATCTATATGTTACATTTAGATTGAGAAAGCATATTTATCAGATTATAGTTGAAATATGACAGTGTACGAAGTGAAAACCGGTAATCGTCGTATAGATGCAAATGCAGTGTTCGACATATTGATGACACAAATGTAAAATATACTCTTCAAATGCATCGCTTAACAAATATTTTTGTATCGAATAACTTGACTGAAATATCAGTTCAGTTATCCTTGATCTAGATCCCGTGTAGCAACTAGTTGAGTTGGTAAGATTATCCAAACTGGTTAATACTAATTCAATCTGTCATTGTATAAAATACATTGGCAGAATGTTTTGTTAAACACTCATGAAAAAATGAAACTCTGAGATTAAGAATTATTAGCTTAGCAATTTCCAACGTCTACCTTACAAATTACACAATGTTATGACGAGAAATACATCCCATCATGACCACCTTAACCTATATTTTTTTCAATTTATTCTAATTTGATCCTAGTAATAAATTCACTAGTGTAAGCGCATTGCATTAGGCCAAAAAAACTTATGTTGCCCTCAAGTCGGAAAATTGAAAAATTTGGTCGGTCGGTCAGATTTTTTTTTTTAAGCGACGTGACTTTGCTAAATTTAATAGTTGATCCAGCTTTTGATGTCATGCACACAGCAAACGTGTTCGATATGTTCGCTACCGCTGTACACATGTCCGTACACACGCACGATGACAAACCCGGAAGTGAGCATACCGACAGCTAAAACAACGTGCAATAACCTTCGTTTTGTTTGTGATGTAAGCGGATGAGAGTTTAAAATGTCACGTTTTATAAATTCAATAACATTTTGTGCATTTTATGTATTAAAAATTATATTTGCTGCAACAAAAGTATTGTTTTTGATTCAAAATAATGTTTTTATTTAATTAAAAAAATAATTGGTGCGGCGATATTTTTAATATTGTGCACCAACTATCCGCCGAATCGCAAATATCAAAATGGCCTGAAATGCAAGAGACGTGTTTGCTCTTCAGACTTCATAGTATTCGGTACATGTCAGAGAAATACAGATCAACTCGAGGTTCAAATCGCCACCTATCCCCCGGGGACCCTGGTGATCAAACAACGGTCCGAGATCGTTAATCTTAGAGGAAACACTTTTTACTTCTTAAAATGGTGAGTTTCTAATACTTGGATCTATTGAAAAAAAAACGCGACCCGATATTTTATATTTTTCGGTCGGTCGCTGAGGGCAACAAAACATTTGTTTGCCTTATAGTGATTTAAATTGTTAACACTGAGAAACGAACCTGGTGCTTTCTTCAATGTAGGATCGCGTAAAATCCGCTGTCGAACGGCTTTGTCTTTGGCTTTCGTGTCCAATATGGCAAGTTGATATGATTCACCCAGCTCAAGGCAAAATTCACGTGAATCATTCCAGGTCAGTTTGTCTAAATAAAAGTACCAATTGCTTCCTTCGGCGCAAAACGCTTAGAAAAAAAAGTAATATCGTCAGACAAATATGTAGCATAAAATCATGGTTTGTGTCTCAACAAGTAGCTATTTCACCTACTACATCCAAGTATATGTTATTGTTGGACCTCTGCCATTTTGATTTCTGAATGTGGTAATTTTGCAGTGAGCAGTGATTGGTCAAAAACGTCACATGACGTGAACTGGATCGCCATTGCGTCTTTTAATTATCCACCGGTGCGCAGTGTTTTACTGGCATTATATTTTAAGCGGTGGTATTGCATCAAGGTAAATATAAATATCGTCTTAATAAAACAAAACAGAAAACGCGTGCGATAAGTTAACTTACAGTCTTGTTGAGAAAGAGTAGGGACAACAATCTGTACGAAAGGAAATTACAAATATTAGTATTATTAAAAAGTAGTACGACAGATAAACATTTACAATTTTAAATAGAGTCGAATAAAATTGTGCGAGGGCGCTAATAAGACCCTAGCCCGAGTGCAATTACAAGACTGAGAGTTTATATCTATCATAACCTTCTGTGGCGCGTCGCTTTTGTAACCATGCCTTTCGTTAACCGATAACGGATAATTGTCTCTAGAATCGGTCAGTTTTTTCGTTGGGGACTTCAAGGGTTTACTCGTAAATCGGGTAGTTTTTAGTTGCAATATGCCAGCGTTCATTCGTTAATCAGGCAGTTTCAGATCAAAGTTGGTCTCTCGCGGTTGAGGTACGTGTGAGTGCTACCTATAACTATGGGCATACGGTAAGCGTAATCCGGAGAGCGTGTAGCCTGCTAGTGCGCGCACGTTGAACATCCTATAATAGTGCTTTTTATCAGTCAAATAACGAACAACTAAAATACAACATACCTGTGTAAATACAGCTAGACAAACCACGTAGGCTAACATTTTGGAGTCTGAAAAAAGAATATATAAATGTATGTAATTTTTAATTCCTGATTCCTGAATTAATAGATTTTGCGTGGTCATCGTTTGTGCGCTTGCGCGTTACCTGGGGTCAACAAATCGGAAGGTGGGGGAGATTTAGAATGTCTCAAACGCATAGAGTCGCTGTACACAGTTCGTCTATGTTTATAACTCGCTGCGTGAAAAAAAAACACACCTTAAATAAATTTGCCAGCATCTTTAACTAACTCGTATCAGCCTCTGAAAATTTACACCATTATGCCTAAACAAAAAAGATTGATCCTGTAAATTTGCATGGAATCACTGTACTTTGAACGCACCAGTATGTCAGCTGTCTGTTTCATTTGCGTCGCTTTTTTGATTTATTGACGTTTTGCCCCTAGAAAAGACACCCAGATTATATATGTTGTTCAATTAATGTCCCTGTGTACTACTCACATATTCAGTGTTGGTCAATAAATGGCGTGATAAATGGCGTCACAAATTACTCACACGAACTTGTGTGTTATTTAAAGAATGAACTGATGCATTCAGTGCCATGAATACACTATTGTGATTCGATGAGATTCTGTTATAATTTAGGCAAGCCATGGTTAAAAAGCATACTGCGCTGCCAGACATCGTTATCTATGTGCCAGGAATATTAATACCAAAGATTAATTCTTGATCTTTCTAAAAATGTTTAAATTCATGCTAGGAGACTGAACAACAATGATAAACAATATGTTATATCATTTTTGATAAAAACTTTTCCCAAAAAAGCGTCAGTGAAACCATTATATTTCGACTGCCGGGTGCACTAGGTCGCTAGGAGTAACCATCCCGGTGTAAATTATTATTATGATGATATCAATTGTAACAGCCATTACATTACCCTGCCAATTATGGTAATAACCAGTACACTGACGATTAAGACAACAGCTACTATACTACCGATCTTTGTAACTACTACTTCACCGATCATGGTGACAACCACTGCACCTACCGATCCTGGTAACGACCAGCATTCATTGTACATCATTACTGCCGATAATGATAACACTACACTACACTACACTACACTACACTACACTACACTACGCTACGCTACACTACACTACACTACACTACACTACACTACACTACAC